GCACCGGGGTTACTTGTATATCTACTGAGTTTACTAACCGCAAATGCAATATCCGGTCTAGTACAGCTCATAAGATACATCAAACTACCAATAACCCGAGCATATTCTACTTGAGAAATACATTCTCCGTGGTTTTTGGTTAGATGAACGCTTCGATCTAGAGGCGTCTTAGTCCCTTGATGATTATCCTTGATAAATTTCCCAAGGATTTTATCAATATAGTGAGATTGGCTCAACACAAGACCATCAGGTCTTCTAATGATTCTAATCCCGAGGATTAAATCAGCCAAACCCATATCTTTCATGTCAAATCTCGCATTTAACATGGTTTTGGTAGACTTGATCATCCGGTCGTTACTACCAACGATGAGTATATCATCTACGTATAAACAGAGAATGACATAGCCGTCTATCGTTTCCTTAACGTAGACACATTTGTCACTTTCGTTTATTTTAAATCCATTAGTTAACATCGCATGGTCAAACTTCTCGTGCCACTGTTTAGGCGCTTGTTTTAAACCATATAGCGATTTAACCAACTTACACACTTTCCTTTCTTGGCCCGGAACCACGAACCCTTCGGGTTGTTCCATGTAGATTTCCTCATCTAGTTCGCCATTTAGGAAAGCGGTTTTAACGTCCATTTGATGAACTTCTAAATTCCGCAACGCGGCTATAGCAAGTATCATTCTAATGGAATTTATTCTCGTCACGGGAGAATACGTGTCGAAGTAATCAAGGCCCCCGCGTTGCCTGTAACCCTTGATTACAAGCCTAGCCTTATACTTCTCGATGGAACCATCGGGTTTCATCTTCCTTTTAAAGACCCACTTGGATCCTAAGGGTTTACTACCCGGAGGAACATCAACAAGTTCCCAAGTGTGATTCTGTAAAATAGAATCCACTTCACTTTTAATAGCCTCTTTCCACATTGGTCCTTCTGTAGAAGTCACGGCTTCTACATACGTTCGAGGCTCGTTTTCTATCAAACAAGATAGAAAATCAGGTTCGTTTTCTAATAAACAAGTTAGAGTACTCGAATCGTGCTCCAACAAGTAAGTTAGAAAATCAGGACCAAATGATTTTTCAACTCTCGCCCGCTTACTACGTCTCGGCTCGAGCTCGGGTTCTCTCTCGGATTCCCCACTATCATTATCCATAGTTTCGTCAAACATTCGTTTTGACGGACTTGGTCCCTCGTTGGACCTACAGGGAAATACATTTTCAAAGAAAGATGCATTCCTTGATTCTATTATCGTGTTCTCGTGTACGTCCGGATTATGGGACTCGTGTACTAGGAACCGATAAGCATTACTGTTATGTGCATAGCCAATAAAGATACAGTCCACGGTCTTAGGACCTATCTTTACTTTCTTGGGTGTTGGCACCAAAACTTTGGCAAGACACCCCCACACTTTCAGGTACTGGTAGGAAGGTTTCCTACCGTTCCACAGCTCATAAGGAGTCCTATCAAGCTTCTTGTGGGGTACCTTATTTAAAAGGTAATTACTTGTCAAAATAGCCTCACCCCACGCATCTTGAGGTAGGCCCGAACTTATAAGCATCGCATTCATCATATCTTTCAATGTACGATTCTTTCGTTCGGCAACACCGTTCGATTGAGGTGAGTAAGGTGCAGTACGCTCGTGTATTATACCTACACTCGCACAGAAGTCACCAATAGGTGCTTCGTACTCACCACCTCTATCGCTTCTAACTTTCTTAATCTTTTGATTAAGTTGGTTTTCAACTTCATTCTTATAAAGAATGAATTTTTCCAAGGCTTCGTCTTTGCTTTTAAGCAAATACACATAGCAATAACGTGTGCTATCGTCGATAAAGGTGATAAAATATTTATTACCACCTCTCGTTTGTATCGATCTAAAATCGCACAAATCACTATGGATTAATTCTAGTGGTTCAGTTTCCCTTTCAACCGATTTGAAAGGTACTTTTGTTAATTTTGCCTCAACACAAATTTCACACTTGTTATTTGTGTTAATATGAAAGTTAGGAATTAGGTTCATGTTAATTAATCTACGCATAGAATTATAATTAACGTGACCTAGTCTACCATGCCACAAATTGGAAGACTCAAGCAAGTAAACGGAAGTAACTTTGCTTTTATTCATAATAGGCATTACATTGAGCTTAAAGAGCCCATCGGTTACATAACCTTTGCCTACAAACATTCCTAACTTAGACAAAACAACCTTGTCTGACTCGAACACCATGCGAAAGCCATGCTTGTTCAACAGTGAGCCAGACACCAGATTCTTCCTCAGCTCTGGAACATACAGCACGTTGTTCAACGTCAGTTCCTTCCCGGAAGTCATCTTCAGAACCACCTTGCCCATGCCTTCCACAGCAGACTGAGCAGAGTTTCCCATCCAAACCTTCTCGCCCTCAACGGTCTCAAAGGTATTGAACATCTCTCGGTTGCAACACAAGTGCCTTGTTGCACCAGTATCGATGAACCACTCTCGTGGGTTAGAGTCCACGAGGTTCACCTCGGTCACCATAGCCGAAAGGCTAATCTCGACCTCCTTCTGATTGCTTTCTTCAACCATGTTGGCTTCAGAACTCTTGTTCTTCTTCTTAGGAACTTTGCATTCAGAGGACTTGTGGCCAGTCTTGCCACAATTGAAGCATTTACCATGAAATTTCTTCTTGGTAATGCCTCCTTTCGGACCTAGCTTCTGCTTGTCCTTCTTGTTCTTCTTGGAGCCTTTGGCATGCTCTACAACATTGGCCTTAGCGCCAACAGTGACAGTATTTCTGCCATCATTCGTCCTGTTCCCCTCCTCAATTCGGAGTCGCTGGATCAGGTCCTCCAGGTTCATTTCCTTTCGCTTATGCTTAAGGTAATTCTTGAAGTCCTTCCACCCTGGAGGCAGCAAGTGGATAACGGATCCCACTAGGAAGGCTTCACTCAACGTCATGCCTTCGTCACGGATTTCATCAAAGATTAGTTGTAAATCCTCAACCTGACTTAGCACGGTCTTGGAATCAACCATTTTGAAGTCAAGGAATCGGCCAACTACAAATTTCTTTGCGCCGGCATCCTCACTTCGGTATTTATGATCCAAGGCTTCCCACAACGCTTTTGCTGTGCCTATCTTGCGATATACATCGTATAAAGCATCACATAATCCGTTTAGGATGTAGTTTCGGCATAGGAAGTCCGAATCCTTCCAATAGCCAACTGCCATCACGGATTGGGCATCTTGTTCCCTTAATTCGGGAACCTTCTCGGTTAAGAATCTCGCCAAGCCGAGAGTTGCCAGGTAGAACAGCATCTTTTGCTGCCACCTCTTGAAATTCGATCCAATACCGGTGAATTTCTCCGGTCTTTCGGCCGAACCACTCGGTACCGTAGGTACCCGAGTCATGGGAATATATCCCTCAGTGGTCCCACCATCTTGTGAACCAACGTTCACTGGTGTAGCTTGGGAATTAGCAACATTATTGCCATTCCCACCACTGTTGTTCTCAACAACATTCTCCTCCCCGAGAGCTGGCAAAACTGGATTCTCCATTTCTTCTAGGAAATTAGAGACAAACAACCAACGGAAAATATATAAGGTTTTAAGATTGTTGGGTAATATGGTTGTAAAATCCCAAAATAATAATAATCCTACGGAAAGATTAATATTATATGGGAAAACAGAAACTAGGAAGGAAAAGGTTGAGTGTTTGGGGTAAAGGCTTTAGCACGAGTTCGAACACAAGGTTCTTTTCCTTAAAACCTTATTTGCTACCTCCCACAAGTGCTAGGAGCGTTGTAGCCTAGGTTTCCCAGGATAAAACGTGCTACGACTCTTTGTTTAAGCACCTAAACAAAGAGCCCGGCGAACAAAACAAAGCTGGAACACAGCTGGGGAAAGAAGAGAGTAGAAGCAGAAGTTTTGAAGCTGAAAACTATACTGGAATTCCGATGAGTTTAATCTGTACAACGGGCTGAACTTTCGGGTTTCAGACCGTTGGGGTGCAGGTTCACACGAGAGCACACGGACCAGCAACACGAGAGTACATCTCTCGGTTCACCACAACCTCTCGTGCTACACACGAGAGTAGGTGCGACCGAGGTGCGACCGAACCAAGTGACTATATCAGATGGAAAATGATACCGAAGTTAGGCATAACTTAGCCCGCAAGGCCAGCCCATTTCCGGACGACATTTGTGCCCGCAGGTGCCGGCGCACGCGAGCTTGATTTCAAGCCTTTTTGATGTCCTCTAGTTGGATTTTGATTTGCACCCCCCCCCCCCCCCCCGCGCGAGAGAGCCTCTATGCTATACAATTCTACAAGCTTGAAATGAGCTCATGTATATAAGGGGGGCAAATCTTGTTTCCAAACCAATGTGGGACAAAGTCCTACATTTTCCCTTCATTTCCCAATTCAAATGGGTCTACTTTGAGAATCAATATCTCATTCACCCATTATCCGTTTTGAGCGTACAATATATCAATCTCTTCGTCTCACTACGAAGAACACGAATCCACTTTGACCCGACCCAAATCGGAAGTGGACCCCACTGATAATTGTACCACAAGGTAGCCACTTATAATGCCATTTTATGTCATTTTTTAAGCTAATTTTCCAACAATATATATATATATATATATATATATATATATATATATATATATATATAGAATTCTTATTTTTGGTTAAATTCTATATAGGTAGTGGAATATATTATTTTAATATGCTTATTATGTACATATGCTTCTTTATATAGTACGATATTCATTTTTGTTAAATCAATCTTATGTATGGTGTTTATTGTATTTAAAAGATAGTATTTAATTGTAATTTTTGTTAAATTATAATTTTTGTTAAATAAATTTTGTTAAATAAACATATATATTTTAATTTTTGTAGTAAAATAGTTTATAAATAATATATTTTATATAATCATTGGATTAACTATATCTACATCAATAATTATATTACTACTTATTTATTTTTTTGGTTATAAGATCTTTATTGTTTTTATGTCAGAAAATGATGGTTCGGAAATTGGAACATTCAACACGCCGAAACGAATTGCGATTGGTGGTAATTACTTTTTTTCTAATTGCAATGTCGGTTCTATGGTATAGTACATTTAACTTAAAGTATTTATATTATCTTCCTATATTAATGTTAGCATTTTGGAATTTTTTTGTTTAGAGTGTTCAATTGCAGTAGAATTGTCAAGTGGTAGATCTCAGCTGACATGTGTCAATGCAACACCTCAAAATAAGAGCCGTCTTACTGGGACACAGTGTGGAGGTCTTTCAAAACAATCTTTCAACGTATACAATGGTATGAGACGTTATATATCTATACAAATTTGAAAGTTTTTTCAATTTTATTGATATGTTTTATTGTTAAATATGGTTAATATGCTTATATTAGAGGATATGCTTATTTATATAGGACGATTTTTAGATTTGTCATGAAAACGTTACGTGTTGTGTTTAGAGTATTTGATTTAGGGCTGTTACATATATAATCCTTTTATTTTTGCGGTAATTTAGTTTATTTAATGTAACACATGTAATCTGTATTGAATTGGGTTTTTTAGTAATTCTTTAATTTATTGTCTGATTGGACAGAAAATGCAACATTCAACACACCGAAAGTAACTGTTATTGATGGTTAGTCCTTTCATTTTAAATGCAATGTCGGTAGTATGGTATAGTACGTTTTATTTAAATTATTTATATTATATATATTAATGTGTGGTTTTTGTAATTTTGTTGTTTAGAGTGTTCAGTTACAATACAAACGGCAAGTGATAGATCTCAGCTTACATGTGTTAATTCAACATCTCAAACAAAAAAGCGTTTTGCCGGCGGACAAATTAGAGGTCTTTCTAAACAATTTTCTACAATAAATTATATATCTTTAAGCATTTAATATACTATATTTTGAATTTTTATTTGAGATTTAAAACAATTTTTTTTTGTTTAATAGTTTTACAAAATATTACTCAATCAATGACATCGCAATCTAACGTGCTCGAAAGTACCCCTATGGTGTCCAATGAAAGTCAAGGGCCTTTGCATATTCTAACAAATGGTAAAGTTTCTAGATGAATTTAATTCTTTTTAAAAAGTCAATTTATATAAATTGCTTTATGAATATTAACATTTCTTTTCATCTTATAGTTCAAACAACAAGATCGTGCGTTGTTGATTACAATACCTCATCACCAAAGGTTTCAATGCAACGTGGTTTGATGTCAGCATTTAATAGTGTGGTCCATGATACACCATCAAACTCTACAAATGGAGATGGTGAGTATAGATACGATTAAAAACCTTTATTATCTAAACATAGTAATAACATTTGTTTTTTTGGTAGATTATTACAGTGATCTTGGTGATCAAACGTACTCGTGCGATCACTGTGGAGCTATGTTTTGGTTAGAGGAGCGAGTTAATAATTCTAGCGATGTTCGAAATCCGAAATATTCTCTATGTTGCAGTCATGGCAAGATAAAGTTGTCGCATCCTAATATTCCACCTATGGCAATCAGGCAGTTGTTCTTTAACCAGGATCAAAAGAGTACCCATGCATTTCTTGAAGAACATTCGGTCCTTCAACAATATGTTTTGCTTTACTTCCATGGGTGGAAAAATTGACAGGACTGTCAACAATGGTAGTGCACCGCCCACTTTTAGGTTACATGGTCAAAACTTTCACTTAATGGGTAGTTTACTACCACAATCTGGTGAAAGACCAAAGTTTGCTCAATTATATATTGATGATACTCAAAATGAGATAGAAAATCGTCTAACTGTACTTGGGTAAGTTATGTACGCTTCTTTAATTTAAAGAAATGAACATCATTTTTTATATAAAATAGATTATGAAATTGTATGTGTTTGTCTCTTTCAAACAGGGCAGATGAGTCAACGAATACAATGTATCGTGAAATTGTGAAAGACATCAAGGATGCACTGGATGAAAATAATGTTTTGGTCAAGAGTTTTAGGATGGCCAAAATAGAGATGGAAAGTAATCATAGAGCTGATATTAAAATCAAACTCATTGGTAAAAGGAGCAAGGATGCAAGGACATATAACTTGCCACAGGTTGGGGAGGTGGCGGCATTGATTGTTGGTGATTTAGATCCAAACATGGGAGAAAGAGATATATTGGTGGAGTCTAAAGCTGGTCATTTTCAAAGAATAATTGAATTAAATCCAGCATATCTCCCACTGCAGTACCCACTACTATTTCCTTATGGTGAAGACGGATACAGAGACGATATACAGTTTAATAATGTTGAAGGCCGGAGTTCAAATGCACGGAGTAAACTAAGCCCAAGAGAGTATTTTTCATTCCGTTTGCAAGATAGGTTCAATGAAATGTCAACGTTGCTATATGTTAGACGATTGTTTCAACAATATTTGGTTGATGCTTATACCATGATAGAATCAGGACGCTTGGTTTATATTAGGTCTCATCAAAAGTCACTTCGGTGTGAATCATACAAATGTTTGACAGATGCGTTAACACGTGGTGAGGTAGATCCTACTTCCCAAGGAAAGCGCATTATTTTGCCATCGAGTTTTACAGGAGGTGCAAGATATATGGTGCAAAATTACCAAGATGCAATGGCGATTTGTAGATGGATCGGGTATCCAAGTCTATTTATTACATTCACGTGTAATCCTAAGTGGCCTGAGATTGAAAGATTTTTACAACCAAGGAAACTCAAAGCTGAAGATAGGCCAGATATAGTATGCCGTGTGTTTAAAATGAAATTAAATGCACTCATAAAAGACATTAAGAAGGAGAAGATTTTTGGACTTGTGGATGCAGGTATTTATGTGGTTTTATAAATATTACCGAATATATTTCATTGTTACGTATACTTAAAATAATTGACAATTTTTTGAGGGTCTAATTTCACCATCTCCGTATTTGCAGTAATTTACACCATTGAATTCCAGAAAAAGGGATTGCCACATGCTCACATTTTGATCTTCTTGAGCAAGAGTAACTCTTACCCTAATCCTAAAGATATTGACATGATCATATCTGCTGAGATTCCAAGTCAATTGTGCGACCCTGAGTATTATAAAGCTGTAGAAGAATTTATGATTCACGGTCCATGTGGTGCAGCGAGGAAGAACTCACCTTGCATGATAAATGGTATTTGCTCTAAATTCTTCCCCAAAAAATTTGTTGAAAACTCAACAGTGGATTTTGATGGATATCCGATCTATCGGCGTCGAGATAATGGTCATACAATACGGAAGAATGGGATTGACCTTGATAGTAGATATGTTGTGCCACACAATAGACATTTGCTTATGAAGTACAAGGCTCATATTAATGTGGAGTGGTGCAACCAATCTAGATCAATAAAGTACTTATTCAAGTACGTCAACAAAGGGAATGATAGGGTCACAGCTGAATTCTACAACAGTGGGGTGGAAGAATCTACTGGGAAAATTGTAGATGAAATCAAGATGTACTATGACTATAGATATATTTCACCCCCTGAGGCTGCGTGGAGGATTTTTGGGTTTGACATACAATTTAGGAACCCATCTGTTGAGCGATTGAGTTTCCATCTTCCCAATGAGCAATCAAAAATATTTCATGACGACGATTTGGTCGATGATGTGGTAAATCGACCAATAGTAGCTCAAAGCATGTTTACTGCCGGGTTTGAGGCTAATAAAAAGTACGCAGCAGGGAGGCAATTGACTTATTCATAAATGCCAACCAAATTTGTTTGGAAGAATGATAAAAGAGAATGGCAACCTAGGCAAAGAAATTGGGCAATTGGGCGAATCTTTTATGTGCCACCAAATACTGGTGAGATCTTTTATCTTAGGTGTTTACTTAATATAGTTCGTGGACCGACTTCATTTGATGAGATTAAAAAGGTCGATGGTGTTCAATATAATTCATTTAGAGATGCGTGTTATGCCCGCGGATTAATCGAAGATGATAAAGAGTATATTGATGCAATCACTGAGGCAGCAACTTGGTCGTTAGCAAGTTCACTATGAAAGTTGTTTGTTACCCTTTTAACATCCAGTTCGATGTCCAAACCAGAAAATGTTTGGGAGATGGTTTGGCAATACTTATCAGATGATGCTGTATATATTTATAGAAGGAACCTCTCAGTCTCAGGTATAATTTATTTTAATATTATTATTAAAATCTGTGTTTAAAAGCATTACATCTTACATTTGTTTTTTATTTTGTAGATTTAAATATGAATGGATCTCAAAAAAAGAATTTTGCGCTGCTTGAAATGGAGAAATTGTTGAATGTTTGGAACAAATCTCTATCAGATTACCCACCTATGCCAATGCCAGATGGGAACAATGATTGGTTTTGTGGTAACAGGTTGTTGTTAGAGGAAATGTCATATGATAGGGAAGCTCTAATGCATCAACATAATTCGTTGCATCCGAAACTAACTGATGAACAGCTACTCATATACAATAAGGTGATGAGAGATGTTGAAACTGAGAAAGGTGGAATGTATTTCGTATATGGTTACGGTGGAACAGGAAAAATATTTTTATGGAAGACAATTTCAGCAGCTTTACGATCCAAAGGCGAGGTCGTTCTAAACGTAGCATCAAGCGGTATAGCTTCGTTGCTGCTACTTGGAGGTAGGACTGCACACTCCAGGTTTGCTATACCACTTGGTGTTAATGAAGACTCCACTTGCAACATCAAGCAAGGCAGTCCACTTGCTGAATTGATAATCAAATCCAAATTAATAATTTGGGATGAAGCTCCGATGATGCACAAACATTGCTTTGAAGCATTGGATCGCACAATGAGAGATTTAATGCGTTTCAAGAATTCAAGGAGCTCAACAATGACATTTGGAGGGAAAACAGTGGTGTTGGGTGGAGACTTTAGACAAATTCTACCCGTTATTCCGAAAGGTACTAGACAAGATATAATACAAGCCAGCATTAATTCATCTTACTTGTGGAATAATTGTGAAGTTCTTCGTCTAACGAAGAATTTAAGATTGCGAGGTGTTACTAATGAAGACGATGTTGAGAAGTTAGATAGCTTTGCCAAGAGGATTGCGGATTTAGGTGATGGTAATCTTGGTGAAGACAACAATGTTGATTGCAATATAATAATGCTGTCTTCCATTGTATTAGAAAATGAGGTTGATCCTATCAAACAAATTGTTGAAAGCACATTCCCTGAATACCGTTCTGGGAACATGGATGAAAGACAATTAGAGAATAGAGCTATATTAGCTCCAACATTAGATGTTGTTGACGAGGTCAATGAATACATGAATGGTATTAATCAAGCTGCATCAAGGACATATTTGAGTTGTGATTCTGTTTGCAAGGCTGAGGCAAACTTTGATATGCAATCTCAGGTACACACAACAGAATTTTTAAATAGCTTGAGGTGCTCAGGTGTACCAAACCACTCTTTAACGCTGAAAATGGGAACTCCAGTTATGCTGTTGAGAAATATAGATCACTCGATGGGGTTGTGCAATGGTACAAGGTTAATAGTAACACAATTGGGAAATCATGTTATTGAGGGGAAAATCATAGCTGGCAATAACGCAGGTACAAAGGTTTTGATACCAAGGCTATCTTTGACTCCTTCAGACCCAAGACTTCCATTCAAGTTTCAAAGAAAGTCATTCCCACTTATGTTATCATATGCAATGACAATCAACAAAAGTCAAGGTCAGACACTTTCACATGTTGGTTTGTTATTGAAAAAACCTGTTTTTAATCATGGCCAATTATATGTTGCAGTATCTCGGGTCAGTAATCCGGATGGTCTTAAGGTCTTAATTTGTGGGGAATCTAGAGGTCTTATAAACAAGACCCAAAATGTAGTTTATAAAGAAATCTTTAATAATTTGTAATTGTTTGAAGATATATACAAAATATATATATACAATATAATAATTAAGTTTGAAGTGTTTATAAGATAACTTAATGATTTGTTTGATACACTTCAAACTTAATCTCTCAATTGCTTATTCATCAATTTGGTCCTCCAAAACAATTATTTTTAGTCGATTTAGTCCCTCCAGTCGTCTTCCATCAACAATCCGGAGGGACTAAATCGACGAATGGAGAGACTAAATCGACTAAAAATAATTATTTCGAGGGACCAAATCGATGAATAAACAATTGAGGGACTACATTGACAGTTCGCTAATAATTGAGGGACCCAATCGTTGATTAACTCTTTATTTTAATTTTACATTTTTGGAAGTGTTAAAGTTAATATCTCTAAGTGAATCCAAAATATATATATACAATATAATAATTAAGTTTGAAGTGTATCATTTAAGAAATTTGTTTAGTTTTTTTTTTTAATTATTTTTTTTTATTTTTGAGGAAATATTTGTTTAGCTTAATTTGTGGAATTAATGTTATGCATTTATAAGAACAACTCATGGTGTTCAATATAATAATCATTGAACAGTTCATGGTGTTCAATAGTATTAATAATATATTCATGAAAATGTTGAGACAAACCAAGTACATTTAGTATAAATCGAAATCAAGCAAGGATAACATCAGAAACATAATCTATCCAACTCATTTCCTCAATTGCACTATATAATATTCGTTTTTATAATTTATATAATTGTATATCGATATAAATATTCTTAAAATATCATAACAAATCCATTCCGTGCAATGCACGGGTAAAAATACTAGTTGTTACTAATGATAAATATTGTAGTACTTATAACTAAAAGGGAAAATCATTCGTTTGGTTCCTCAATTGTTTTGAAATTGTCAATTTAATCCCTAAATTTCAATTTGGTTGAATTGAACCTCTAAATGTTTTAAATTTCGTCAATTAAATTCCCTCGCCACTGTTTTGGTTACTAACGACGGACTAACTAAAATGATCCTGAAAATAAAATCTTTCTAAAATCCCATCGATAAGATCATTCCATATATTTGGTCTTTGTCCATTGAAGATCAATGCATTTGAGTTCAGATGTCCTTCAATGAAAAACAAGCTACACATATAAGTCATTCTTTGAAGATTCATAAGACAATCTCAAACAAGTGTGACTCAGATTTTACTACGTAATATATAGGGTACTGTAAATATTAGGAAACTTTCTAAGGTTATCCGCACTCATGTAATTTTCTGCACTTTCAAAATGTTCAATCACAAAATTTGTAATTTTTACTATTCACTATTCATCTATGCAATTCTATATCTATCCCTATATCTATTATTGTCAACGATTTGTGGTAGAACATAATATTCAAATCCCAGTTTCGACTTTTATTGTTGAAGTTGACGCCTCCCTTTCACAGACCACAAATTCTGGATTCTATGGTGTTGTTGTATTACCAAATAATAGTAATTTTGTGGCTGCAAAATTTGGTCCCATTCGATGCTTAAATAATCCCAATCTTGCGGAGGCAATGGCAACGAAGGGGGCTCTTTCATGGATTCTTGTACAAGGTTGGCGTAATGTGATAGTTCGCTCTGATTGTCAGATGGTGTGTAAACTTCTCAACCAGGACTGTTCGGATTATTCATATGCAGGTTGTGTTGTAAAGCATTGTCAGAATCTCAAACAACACTTTGAATCAATGTCTATCAAGTATGTTTCTCGATCAGTGAACAAGTATGCTCATACTTTAGCTAGGACTGTGAGTTCTCAGTCTGGTCATATTAGTTGGTTTTCATCTATTCCTTCTTGTATTAAACGTTTTATTTCATGATATTAATACTATTGTTTTGGTTTAAAGAAAAAATAATAATAATAAAGTCTTTGGTTTCAAAAAAAATCTATGCAATTCTCTCTCATCTTTCAAAAATAACATTACTATCACATCAACTTATTAAAAAAATTATTATTTTTATCAATAAAGTATTAATAATAATTAAAATAATAAAAAAGTAATAATTTTTTTTAGTACTATTGACCCTTTTACATGGAACGTTATGCTGTGGATACGTGTTCACCATGCGCATGGTGAATACGGGGTAGATTCATAATTTCTATGCTGTAGATTTATAATTTCTATACTGTAGATTCATAACATCTATATTGTAGATTCATAATTTGTATACCATAAATTCATAATATAGTTATGTGATTTGTGAATACAGAGTTCAACAATTGGGATATATGAACATCGATTCATAATTTCTATACTGTACATGGGGGTAGATTCATAATTTATATACTGTAGATTCATAATTTTTATACTGTAGATTCATAATTTCTATACTGTAGATTCATAATTTATATACTGTAGATTCATAATTTCTATATTGTAGATTCATAATTTATGTATTGTAGATTCATAATATATGTACTGTGAACACGAAATAATGCGATTGCGAAGAGCGAAACGTTATTAACAACAAATAAAAAACAAAATTATTCTTATGGATCTACCCCTGTGTCCACCATGCGCATGGTGAACACGTATCCACAGCATAATTTGCCCTGTTACATGTAGTATCTGTTTATGTATATTTTCTCAACCTATTAAAGTCCAACGAGTCAATATTGTACTTTCTCAACCTACTAAAGCCCAACGAGTCAATATTACCTCCACTAAAGTTTAAACTCATGACCTCGCACTTGAAAAAATCACTTCATGTGCACTTGACCACAAATAAAAAAATGTAAATGTTGCCAAGATTTCATTGACAACCAAATTGTAAAAAATGCAATTTGACCTGTCAAGTTGCTACATGCAAATTTGCAATTGGGAAGAAATCATAGATGCGGCCTATAAATCCATGACAGAAATTACCTCCTCTCAATGTGAGGGGGGTTCCTTGTGCGCAGTGAGCACCGGTCTAGCCTCTATGATTAATGTTCAGTCGAGTCACCATGATTTACAACCTCCCACCGCTCTGTCGGGCCGGGGTGTTGGGGACCCTTAGGGTTGGGGTTCAGCCTTTGGAATAATGACAAAAATTACCTCGAGACAGATGTGTGAAAGTGATGATTTGAAAGAGAACTGTATAAAATTCAAACCGTGTTCTAAAATCTAAAGTCAACCCAGGCCATATGGCAAATTATTATGTGGATCACGGTCCACACAATGTTATGTGGGTCATAACAAAAAGTACATTTTTAATAGGGATAAGGGTCAAATAGACCCTCCAACTATATACTAAAGTGCAATTAGTTCCTCGAATTAAAAAAACCTTCAATTAAACCCTTAAACTAGTTGAAATAGTGCAATTAACATATTTGACCTATAATAGCATGTTACCTTCAAGTCACCTGCCACGTAGGATTCTACATAATATGCCACGTCAATTAATATTTTAAATTTATTTTTTTAAAATAAATTAATTATATTATAAAATATATATATTATAAAATATATATATTAAAAAAAAAAAAAGAGACGCCATAGCAGGCTGGCAGCTTGCCTAGCCTGCTGCCATGGCTTCTCCATGAACGGAGAAGAGAAGCCAGCGAGCTTCTTGTTCAAATGTAACGGATGGATAGATGGAGTAGTCGAACAGACGAATCTCTACGAACGGACGAATGGATTTGATCGGAGAAGTCGGACGGACAGACGGAGTAATCGAACGGAACGGACGAATTCATCCACCGCCGGCAGTTACGAACGGAAGAATCCGCTGACATGGAATATGTGAATCCGGCAACTTTTATTTAAGCTTTTTTTAAAAAAAATTTAAATGAAATTCCACATAATTGTCAAGCAAGCAAAATTAACTTGTTACTTTTTGGTAACTTGTTAAAAATGGTAATTGCACATTTTTAACAAGTTAAAGGGTTTAATTGAAGGTTTGTTTAGTTCAAGGGGCTAATTGCACTTTAGTATATAGTTGGAGGGTCTATTTGACCCTTATCCCTTTTTAATATACTAAATGTACATTATTTTTGTACTGAATGTACATTATACAATATAATATACAATCAGAACAAAAATAATGTACATCCCCTGAATATAATGTACATTATTTTTGTACTAAATATACATTATTTTTGTACTGAACGTACATTATATTACAGTAAACAAAATATAGTCCACACAATAATGATTGATGAATAATGGATAGTTAGGGGTGGGCACTTCGGTTCGGTTTATCCAAACCGAACCGAACCGAACCGAACAGTTCGAGATTTTGTAATCCGAATGGTTTAGTACCGAACCGAACCGAACCGAACGGTTTGGCAAAAACCGAACCGAACCGAATGCTATATAATTTTTTTAATAAATAATAATAATAATAATATTAATAAAAGAAGTAAATCCAAGTTCCTTGATGCCTGCTCCGCCGTTCAGTTCTCATTCTTACTAGTACCGAACCTTACATTTTTTATTTGATTTCTTCATAGATTGTTTTCTACATTGCACTTTTGTTGTTTGTCGCAATTGTTCTTTACCTCACAATTATATCTAACTTGACTTATATTTACAATATTCAGTATTTTTCTTAGTTTCATGTTTTTCTATAAATTTAATGTGCTTTACAGTCATTCTAATTTTGATTTCCAGTGCACTATAATTATTTTCTAGTACTCGAATATATTTCAAGTGCACTAGCAATGATAGATTGTGTCAAAAAATTAACTATATAGTAATTGACACTAGTTCTTTTAATATCAACTATACAGATAGATGATTATTCATCTTATCAATAAAAATATTCCAACTAAACCAACTGAAGAGTCGGTTGTGCAAAAACGTTAACTGATGTTTGGTAATTAGTACTTAGTATTGTGTTTGAACTTTGGAATGCTATTTTGTTATATAATGTTTAGAGTTTGAATTTGGATTATGTATTGTTTGGTAGTATGTTCGAAAAATTAGGAAATGTTGAAATTTGGGGATCTTAAACCGAACCGAACACCGAACTGAATTAAATCCGAACCGTTTCAAACCGAACCGAACCTTAATGTTAAACCGAATGGTTTATCTTTTTTAAAACCGAAAAACCGAAACCGAAACCGAAACCGAAAAAAAACCGAACCGAAACCCGAAACGCCCACCCCTATGGATAGTTATGTCAGGGTTCACCTTGCAAGGTGAATTGAGGTTATATTCACAATTTTTAAACTTTATATTCACAACTAGTTTTTTACGCGCATTGCGCGATTGGGATAATGCCCAATGTTTTTTTTTTTTTTAAATAAGTACTTTAAAGTATATCAAGGTAAGATTATATTGAAATTGTTATACAGAGTGATAGAACAAATCCGAGGTAAACGATGGAAAATCTCTCTACTCAACGTTCGACGGAGGATCATGATCTCCTCGTCCGGAGTACGAAGAAACCGAAACGGAGCGAGGCTAGCTCTCCCATGCAGGCAACGGCGGGGCTCAACGAGATTCTGATGGCAGAGGATGTGGAGATCGTGAGGGAAACGCCCAGTGCTGAGATGGTGGTGGCGATGCCGTCTCACAATCAATGGACAAAGATGCGACAACCATGCGACCGCCGGTGGCCCCTGTATCAATCCAGATTCCTGAAACGCAAAGGAAATCGTATGCAGAGAGCGTGATGGGGCGCTCTGCCGCTGGCCACGAGGACAACCACGAGCCATCGGAGTCGGAAGACGACAACGACTTTCTAGAGGCGGAGAAGGGTGACGATCCTCTGTGTCCGACGATTAGGTTAACAAAAATGGAGCTGAAGGCGATCCGGGCTCCATGGAGACAGGCTTTGATTGTCAAAGTTATGGGACGCAAGGTGGGATACACTTATCTGCAACGCCGGCTGGCGTCCATGTGGAAGCCCAAAAGGAGTATGGATTTAATCGCCATCGACAATGATTATTTTCTTGTCAGATTCGGATCCGTAGACGATATGGAATTCGCTATGTATGAAGGCCCTTGGATGGTCTTGGGTCATTATCTGATCGTGAAACCATGGGAGCCAAACTTTGATCCATTTAACGACACTGTGGAAAAGGTATTTGTTTGGATTAGAGTGCCTAGCTTGCCCGCTGAATATTTTGATTTTATTTTCCTCAGGAAGCTAGGAAACAAGCTTGGACGAACGGTTCGGGTAGATCAGGCCACAAGTCTGGTGTCTCGAGGCATGTTCGCCAGAGTTTGCATGGAGATCGACATGAGGAAACCTTTGGTCTCAAAGTTCACGCACGAAGGAAAGGTGCAGCAGGTGGAGTATGAAGGCATGCACCTGGTGTGTTTTGCGTGTGGTCTCTATGGTCATGCAAAGGAGGCTTGTCCAACGTTGAGAGGAGAGGAGACGGGGCAGTGCAATGATGTGTCACACGGGCAGAACAAGAACGCTACAAATGCCCCGCATGTTTCTGCAGATGCTATGGATCCAAAGGTACCCTTTGGTGCCTGGATGATCGCACCTACGCGACGAGGACGCCCCACCCTGGATTCCTCTGGACGCAACAACCGCGACGTACATGGCAGAGCGGGGATGTCTATCGCGGCTTCAAAGTTCGCTCCTTTGAGGGAGTCCGGCGATGAGGACCACGGGGAGGAAGGGAGACCGGAGGACGTGGTGATAACAAACGCAGATCTTGGCGACAAGCGACCACATCAGACTGGCCGGAGCAACGGTGAGGCAGCATGCAGGGATTCAATGCTGGCAGGGAGCGTGAGAGCACGCAGACCGAACGTCATAGCGATCGAACAACAAATAACCAACGAGCCGGAGAAGGGCCAGAGATCAACGACTGACAAGGCGGAGGCCATGCCCAAGGTACGCCGATCAAATGGGGGGAGCTCGAGGAAAGCAGCAGGGGAAGATGAACACGTGGTAGTCCGAGGGTCGCAAGGAGGTTTGGTGATCCGTTCGTCGCGCGTGTATGTGGGTGACACCGGTGGCATTTCTCCTTCACCAGTATGGCAACATCCAATGGAGCATCATGGGGACCCGCCGGAGGAATTTGATGAGGAGGGGGACGTGGTCATGGACCTCCATACGATCCAGTGGTTGGCGAATTAAGAGGTAACGGGGAAGCTCTTTGAGTTCCCCGATTTGTGCATTTTTTGTCCTTTTTTTTAGCGTTTTTTTATTGGTGTTATCCTCTCTTTTCCTTTTGTTGTTTGGTTTTATGGACTGCCTATTTTGGAACTGCCAGGGTGCAGGAAATAAGACTTTCCTGCGCGCCCTCAAACATCTCCTCATGGTGCATAAACCATCCGTTCTGGGACTTTTTGAACCAAAGGTGTCGGGTAATCAAGCGGACTCCATATGCAAGAAATTGGGGTTCTCAGATTGGGTCCGGGTTGAAGCTTTCGGCTACAGTGGTGGCATATGGGTTTTTTGGAAGGACCCAATTCAAGTCAAAGTTATCTTTACTCACCCTCAGTTTATCCTTTTGCAGGTGGGGAAAGTAGATCAAGACCCTTGGTTTCTCGCCCCAGTCTACGGGAGTCCGGCTCACCATCTGCGCCGACGCCTCTGGAGGGACTTAAAACAATCAGTGCGAGGAATAGTGGGACCCTGGTTGGTCGCGGGAGATTTCAATTCGGTCCTGAACCGAGACGAAACTTGCAACTACAGCTCCTTTTCCACGCACCGAAGCTCGGATTTCACGAATTGGATAAATGAAGAAGGGCTCATTGACATGGGCTTTGCCGGGCAAAGTCTTACCTGGATAAAAAATGGCACGGATATGACCATAAAAGGAGCTCGACTTGATCGGGCGTTGTGCAATACGGAATGGCGTACTCGTTTCCCTGATGTGTGTGTTACACACCTAACAAGATTAGCTTCTGACCATGTACCGCTTTTGATACAGGTGGAAGGAGTGAGGCGCACGACGCGATCGGCCCCTTTTTTTTTTCAGGCAGCCTAGCTCACTAGCAACGAGATGCATGAGGTCGTGAAACGATACTGGAAAACCGATTCTGATATTGTGGAAAACACTCATAATCTTGCCAAAGGACTAGGGAGGTGGAACAATGACTCTTTCGGAAATGTGTTTAAAAAGAAGCGGGACCTGATGTCTCGCCTGAGGGGCATTCAAATAGCGCTGGGTAATAACCACCACAAAGGTTTAATCAAGCTTGAGATGAAGCTTAGAAAGGAGCTGGAAGATGTTCTACACCAGGAGGAGCTTATCTGGTTTCAAAAGTCAAGAGAGGATTGGATTTGTTCTGGGGATAGAAACACCGCGTTTTACCATGCTGCCGCCACAGTCAGGAAGTCGCACAACTTGGTGCATCAGCTAAAAAATGATAATGGAGAGTGGATTACTGAAGAATATGATCTCCGCGACCACATCAGGGAGTTTTACACTAATCTGTTTTCAAAAGAGAGAAATCCTGAACCGGTTCGCACTCTGAATGCTTCTTTCCCTAGGTTACGGAGGCTGGACTGGGCTCAGTTTAATCGAACGGTGACCAAAGATGAAGTTCACTCCGCGCTCAAGGACATGAAACCATTCAAAGCTCTGGGGCCAGATGGTTTTCACACAGGTTTTTACCAACGCACTTGGGACACGACGGGTGACAGTCTTTTTAATCTCGTCAGAAAGGCCTTTGAAACCGGAACACTCCCGGAAGGTTTAAATGACACACTCATTGCTTTAATCCCCAAAGTCCAGGCGCCGGAAACGATCAAGCAATTCAGGCCCATAAGCCTTTGCAACGTCAGCTACAAGCTCATCACAAAAACCATCACGAATAGACTAAAGCTTATTTTACCGAAGATCGTTGGGCCGTACCAAAGCTCTTTTGTTCCCGGAAAACAGATTTCAGATAACGTTATCATCTTCCAGGAAGTCATGCATTCGCTGCGAGAAAAACGAGGGAAAAAGGGTTACACGGCCATCAAGCTAGACTTGGAAAAGGCGTATGACAGGCTGTCCTGGGATTTTATTCAGGACACTCTTGAACGAGCAGGTTTCACGGCTTCCCTGAAGGACCTCATCATGACTTGCATCAGAACTCCCAGACTTACTCTCACTTGGAACGGGGAACGCGTTCTGCCTCTCAATCCTGAACGAGGGATTAGACAGGGTGACGTGATGTCGCCGGCAATTTTTGTCCTTTTCATGGAGAGACTTAGCCAGCTCATCGCCTCGGAGGCGGATAAAAACGCTTGGAAAGGTATAAAATTAGGGGTTACTGGACCTACACTAACACATCTTTGTTTTGCAGATGACATGGTATTATTTACGGAAGCATCTCTGGAGCAAGCTGAAGTGGTGCTACGCTGCCTCGATCAGTTTTGCTGTGTGTCGGGGCAAAAGATAAGCTTAAGCAAATCACAGGTTTTCTTCTCAAAAAACACAGATCCCGAGGTTGCAGATTCTATTTCAGGACATCTGAACATTGCTAGGACTATGGACTTGGGGAAGTACCTGGGAGTACCGGCTCAACATGGTCGAGTCACCTGCAACACTTTTTCGGACCTGCTCGACCGAATTTCAGGTCGTCTTGAGGGTTGGAAAGCAAAAACCCTATCTTTGGCAGTAAGAGTTATGTTGGCCAGATCAGTGCTAAATGCGATTCCAGCGTATACCATGCAGACAACGGCCCTTCCCAAAAGCCTCTGTTTGGAGATTGAGAAGAGAACAATAAGCTTCATATGGGGAGGAGTGAACAGCAGAGAAAGTTAAGTTTGGTGAAGTGGGAGCTGGTGACCACGGCCAAATCAACAGGAGGCCTGGGTGTAAAGCGCATGAGTGAGATGAACTTAGCTTACATGGCGAAGTTAAGGTGGCGCCTTAAAGCGGAAGAAACCAGCCTCTGGGCTAGGACTTTAAAATCGAAATATGATATCCCTGGCATGGACAACAGTGAACCCCAAATCGGACGAAAAGCTTCAAATGTATGGCGTGGTATTGTATCAGCAAAAGAAATCACGGACAAAGGCAATAAACGCCTAGTGCACAATGGCAGAACCACCCGCTTTTGGATGGATAGGTGGTTGATCCCGGAGTCCCTTTACGGCCAGCTTCAAGCTCCTCTTGCTTTACCGGATCTCTACGCCTGTGTTAGGGACTACTGGGACGACACTTGAGGTTGGAAATGGGAACATCTTGACAGCATTCTGCCGGTTGAGACGAAGGAACGCCTAGCAAGCTATATCCTCAACGATCACATGGAGGATGGGATAGGCTGGGAGCCAGAGGCTAACGGGAAGTTCTCAATAAAATCAGCTTATAATCTAAAGACGAACCATGATGCAAATGCGGAAGACGGATCTTGGAAGAGCCTTTGGCGAGTTCACGTTCCAGCTAACATGTGCATGTTCGCATGGCTGGTTCGCCACGGGAAAGTTCTTCCTAATGCGGAACGTTTCAAAAGACATTTAACAACTGACTTATTTTGTAATCGTTGTGCAGGTCAAGTAGAGGATCTAAACCATCTTTTCAGGACCTGCCCTGCGGCTGGAGGAATTTGGAAGGGGACGCTACACGCTTCGGTGATTGCACGTATCCAACAAAAACCATGGGAGGAATGGCTGGAAACAAACATGAAGGGTGAGACACGAGAAGGCTTTCCGGAGGACTGGCCAGAGCGTTTTTTCACCAGGCTTTGGTGGATTTGGAGGTGGCGAAATGATAAGGTGTTCAACTCCAAATTCCTGGCGATCGATCAAAAGTTGGAGTGGCTGAAGAATTATGATCTGGAGGTTAAAGCTGCCTTCGAGAACAGGATAACCCCGGACGCTGATCATACAACGGCTGCTAGTAGTATGAGAGGCTGGAAGAAACCGGCCACTGGATGGATGAAATTGAATGTAGACGGCTGCTGCAAAGGATCAGGCATGGCAAGCTGTGGAGGGATTCTCAGGGATGCACAAGGAAATTGGTGTCGGGGTTTTACGCATAACATAGGACGCTGCTCGGCATATGAGGCAGAAGCCTGGGGAATCATGCAAGGTTTGTGCATGGCTTTTGACTATGGAGCAACGAAGCTCATCATAGAATGTGACTCAAAGACCTTAGTGGACACCCTCCGGAAGGAGTCAGAGGTACAAGCAAGTGAGAGCAATATCGTTCGTAGATGTCGACATCTGGCTCAGAGTTTTCACGAAGTGGAGTTTGCTCATGTTCCAAGGGAAGGTAACGTGGCGGCTGATATGCTGGCAACAAAGGCTCTTGCGCATTTGATTGGTTATCGCTGTCTTCTTGAGCCCCCGGATGATCTTGACGAAATAATCAGGAACGACAAACTGGGAGCTTTGGTGCTCAGACGTACGAGTAGGCACGGATGATCCTTTGTGCTTGGGGTTCCCCCCTCTTTTCAGATCAAAAAAAAATATTGGAATTGTTCATGCATATATAATTGAATGTTAAATTTACGTATTTAAATAGGCAATTCTAAGTTTACAAATGCAATATAATATAGTCAAGATTGATTATAATTGTCAATAAAATAATTCTATAGGCATGGTTGAAACTAAATACGGGACATAAGGGAGAACAAATAAAAATTATGACATAAAATATTAAATATATACTAATATTGAAGAGCTAACGGCTGATTTCCCACTTTAATTTGTTATGTGATTTGAATACTCTTTTTGTCAATAAATCCCCCAAGTAGTTAATATTATTGGCTTAATTATATTTTATATTTTTTATTTTTTAAAACAATTATTATTATTATTATTATTATTATTATTATTATTATTAAATATATGTATACCCTTAGGTCATTTTACATGTTAATTTAAACAGCTGATTTTTTCAAATATCTTTTTACCAATCATTGGTATAATTTGCTATCCGCTAACGCTAACTGCTAACTGCTGATTGTCAAACAAGGACATTGTGAGGTAGTTCTCACTTCAATTTGTTGTGTGATTTGAATACTCTCTTTGTCAAGAAATCCATCAAGTAGTTAAAATGATTGGCTTTATTAATTATATATTTTTTAATTTTTTCATGGTATTAATAAAATACTTGGTAAAGAAATAATATAGCATTATTTTGTATTATAATTTTGATATTTAATTAATTAAAAAATAATGCACAAAAAAAAGAT